CCTGCAAGGCACTCCTGCTATCACAACCGTGTCTCTATCTCCTCGCCGATGTGCGAGAGCGTTTGCCGATAAAGCATCCTTTCACGTGAGCAGATCCACAAGTCACTGCAGGCAGTACGCTAGAAACTTTAATTTCAGCAACATAAACGAGCCTGGAAGCGCGTGATGTTCCTCGGCGATAAATAATCTGAAAGCAATTCTTACAAACTGCCGGGAAGCAGTCAGCGGTCTCAATGACATGCCCACTTAGCACCTCCAGAGGGGTTACAACACTGACAGCCCAGCTCCTCCAGGCTCGTCCGGCTGCAGATTAAGTTCAGGAGTCGCTTAACCCAAATGTTAAAAACGAAGATAGGTGCTTAAAAGATGAAAAGCTGGCGACAGAACCCTTCAAGAGCGAGACAGTGTGTCTGTCCACCAATCCGTCATCAGGCCCATCAGTCTTTATTTTGTCATTTTCCGCTATTTTAATTTTCAGCACTGGGAGAGGGAGACTTCCTATGACTAGGGTGACATCTATGTCAGGCTCTGTTTTGAATGCCTAGTTTGGACTGTTTTAGCCAATTTTTTTAATTTGACTGATTTGTTCCTAGTCAGGGCAGGAGCAAGCTAGAGCCCAGTCCAGAAACACTGGGCAACAGAACGGGGTGCCAGTCCATCGCAGGGCACACGACCAAGGGCGCCCATGTGGTGCCCATGGAAGGTGCCCCAGGCTGGATTCGAACCCAGGGCCAAAGATCCAAGACTAGCTGCCATACCACCGTGCCAAACCGAGACGCTGTTTAATGCGGCAATTTAAATTTGGGAAGGTGGGCGGGGGGTGGTGGATCACAGATTCTGAAAGGTGAAAAAAAAACGGGAAAGATCAAAGATTCCACAAGAGCTGTCAGAAACACGAGGTCACGGGGCTGCAGTCTGGGGTTTGCGGATTCTACTGCCGATCAGAGCTCCGGGCTGGAGCCGATCATGTGATTAGAAATTAATGAGGATTCAAGGGAAAGCCAGGCTGCAGAACACAACTCGGCTGCCAACTAGCAGAGAAACCCAGCAGCATCGCCTATAACAAGCAGCACGTTTCCTGAACAGGCGCACAGAAAATCGCTGCACCTCCCAACCTCACTGAACACTGTAACTTGTCTTCCTGGCCTCTGATGGCGTACTGTTACAACGCCAGCGGGAGTGTGTCAAGGCTCTACATCTGAGCCCCCCAACTCGGCATCATTCATGCCTTTTTATTTTCCTCCATCCGTGTAAAACAGGCTTGTTTTGACAGGAAAGGAACTAGATCCTGGAGTTGCGTCCATGAGACTGGGGACCGCGGTGCACACTGACTATTCCAGCAGAAGGATCCTCATAAAGGACACACAGGATGTCCCAGGACGCCCGATCCCAAGAAGCCTGAGCAACACTAAAGGAGATCCCAGGGCCGCTTCCTCGAATGCTGACACTGGGAGGTCACAAAAATGAAGTCGCTAGGAGTTACTTGACAAGAAGGAGGACAGCCCTCAATATCAACAACGGGGGGACGCAGAGTTTAAATTGAGGGACAACAGGAGGGAGTACAGACCATTTTCGAGAAGCCCAGCACAATTACAATTGCCCAGATAAGGGAAACCATTTTCAGTGAACGTTTTGGTCATTCTGTGCATTCGGACTCTTTCGGCACACTCAGATCCATGTCCTACAACAACAACAAAAAACCTTTTGCACTAAGCAGACTGCTAGGTTCAGTGGCTAATGGGACACTTCCAGCTCACTGCCTTCGTCTTTAATGTCACTTAGGAGGTTTGTGTCAGAACCTGTGCTGTATCATTACATGTTCTATAGGACGTCAGTGGTACACATGAAACAGGGGCTGTGATGGACAGTTACAGCGGGTAACCTCCTGCGCCCCTGACAAATCCCCAACTACCAGAAAGACCTCACTTTCGGTCACTTCAGTACCAATGGCAAAGCGTATCATGGGGAGTGAAAGAGGTAAGTCAAGTAAGTGAGCAGGCATTCTTAAAACAAGACAAATTCTCATTCAGATGGACATTTCCTCCCAAAAAAACAGAACTGACGTCAAGAGATGTAGACTGATCCCAATAAAAGATTAATCTCCGCTTGAATGCTGTAGGAATCAAAGACACTGCAGATCCACGGCCCAGATATGCCAGTGTGAGTTAAGAGACAGGCTGTTCTCATTTAACAAGTGAACAAGTCATAAGGTATAATATGCTTATCCATTACAGCTCTCCTGCAAAACTAGGAATTATGCTTAGATGCAATTTTCTCTTCTTCACATAAAGACACGGGAAATACAGCTCCCCTTCCCCCCCAACTCAGTCCTAACCCACCCCAGGTTCATTCCATGCTGTCTTACCTCAGGTACCGGAGAGGCTCAATGGGTTCCGGTTCTGGTTCCATAGAGCTGTGGTTCATTGCGTGGTCCGCGATGGAGAGACAGACAGCAGCAAACGAGCGCCGAGTCTGAGCTGGTTTCTCCAAGCCTGCTCCCTCTCAGTCTTCCACTCCCACTCCCAGCCAAAGCCTGGCCGTGTGTGAATCTGTTTTCCCCTCTCTCCCTCTCTGATAAAAGTAGCTCTCTCTGTTTATATCAGCAGCGGTGGCTCACAACGACAGCCAATTAAGAGGCAGGGAGACCCAGGGGAAGCAAGCCGATTGGCTGAGCTGCGTGAGAGCAGCTCTATCAACCTGTAGCACACAGGAGCAGAAGAGTGGAGCTGGATGGAGCCGACACATTGGAAAAGGGGGAGAGGAGGGGTGGGTGTGGGGGTTAAACTCATTGAAATGTCAGTCACAGCTAGGCCCAGGGCTTGACAATTTTAGCTGAAGGGTTAATTAAAATGACAGTGCCAAAAGGGGAAAAAATGACAGCTTTAGAAACCAATGTAAATAACAAGGCATGCACAGAGGGAGAACAGGGTCGAGAAATGTCCTAGGGCTTAAGAAATTAAATCTGTACACTTGGAAGAAATTCAGGATCTCTAGCATCTGAACAGTAGGGAGCTGTCGGCCATTGTTAACAAGCAAAGGGCCACGCAGCTTGGAAACAGAGGGGGGAGAACAAGAGGACTCTGGCAGAGAGAATCCTTTCCTTTCTTGATTTGTGAAAGGAGCCACATTTCTGAACACAAAGGTCAGTCAGCTCTTGTCTGCTTTCCCTTTCTCCTGGCTCAGGGGAGGGCTTGAGAGACACAGGTTTATGGGCTGTAATCGTAGCACAACCCCAGTGCCTGCAAGCCTGATACAGAATCTGCCGGCTCGTTAGAAAGGAGGCGATTACAGAAGAAGTCGGCCACACTGGCCACTTTCTGGATGTCCAGTTCCTCGAGTCACAAGGGCAAGAGCTTGGCTTAAGCACTTGGTGTTCCTCCCCCCCCCAATCTTCAGAAGGCACCCCAACACCACTTCTCAGTGTTTGAGCACGAAAATAAAACCCGCTGCCACGTTCACACAGCTGTGCTCTGCTTGCGAGAGGCAGATGGCCGTCTCTTGCAAACATGCATAGCGTTCTGGAGTTTGACAAATAATGGAAGCAGTCACAGGCTCTGCAAGTCCTGTCAGCCAGATCGTCTCAGTCGTTGTGTTACTAGTGATGGTGCTGCTGTTCTGTGAGGAAGAGCCTGCACTGTACTGTCGGAAACAGTCTCAGGTGCAATGGCAAGGAAGATGACTGGCAGGCATGTCAGTGTCCTTACTTGTCCCCTTATTACATGAGAACCCTGTGCCAGACATGATTACAGGCTGCTCCTGGAACTACTGAATAGTTCACGTATATCTGACAGCAGCTTGTAAAGGCACAGCTGCTGAATCAAATAGAGCAGGGAGAATGTATCTGGTACTTTAAGAGGCGGGGGGGAAGTTCAAAACAATACAGTCTGTCCCACTAATACTGTATATGAGACAGTGTGGGTAGCTGAGCATAGGTTTATATTCACTTGTTTATTTAAATTATAATTTATCATTTTAAACTGAGACAGATGACATCAGATTCAACCCCCCATCTAATCTCACTAGCAACTGTCCAGCAAAGAAGACTGCAAGACCTCCTTTAAGGGAATGCATGGCACTAGATCACAAACTGCTTCTTTGTTTCAAAAACCTAACTCATTTGTTAACGGCTTCGCGTTGCGTAATATGTATTGTGTGTTGTGTTGTGTGTTTTACCCGCCAGCAAAGCAAATGTCCCAAAGCAATGCACAAAACAACACACTGCAGCTAATCTGAGGCTGTTCTGTACTGCCCTCAGGTGTTAACAAGGGGGAACCACAGCCCAAAGAAAACTAGATTTTTTTATTCTCTCCTGACCTTTTTAATATGCTTGTGACTGATCTCTATAGACAGGCAAATGTTTTGCTATTGCCCTCCCCCATGGAATTCCTTTGAAGAACTCTGTACTCATGTACTCATTCGCATTTACAGTGTTAGACATTCATTTGACGGCTACAAGTACAAATAGCCCTAAGCAACTCTGCTCCGACAGCAATAATTACAGTTCAACGCACACAAACATCAGGAAGAATCAAGTGCACAGCAGCTCGCTGCAGCCCGTGTAACCGGATGGGAAAGGAAAATTACACAGATCATCACCATGTCGGTTCTCTCCAAGACCAAAGGCCCTGATTAGATTCTCCAAGACTAACTTGCAACAACGCTCAGGAGGCGATCGCTTGTGACAGGAGAAAGCCTTAAGTGTGTTCTTTGATCTTCAGATGCTAAATGTAGCAATGAAGCCAACCCGCCCTCCAGCAAGCACAAACCCACCAAGTCGCTCCTGAACAAAACCTGTCAGTAAACACTCACGGAAATGCGACCACACAGCACAAGGAAACACACCTCACCAAACTGCACAGGTCACACCTTTGAATTCAGGCTCTGGTATGTTTTGGGCTATATATAATCTACCCAACACGCACGCATTGGACGTAGTGCAGGTGGTGTCCAAAATACCACGTCCCGACAGGCATTAGTGAGTTACACACTGTGAAGAAGGAGACACCCAAGTGAAGATTTTTTTTGGAAGCAGAGAAAAGGTATTTTTAATATTTAACATTTACAAGACGCGTTGACAGCAGGGCGACTGCAATCCCAGGGTCCTCCACTACAGCAGGGCCAGGAGCAGCGACGGAGACGACCTCGGAGGGGGGACAGACCTACACGTACCACTGGAAACCAAACTTCTTGTGCAACAGCTCCTCCTGTGGCCGGAGGTTGTAAAGTTCCTCTGTGATGGGGGTGACCCAGCGGTCTGTGTGGAACACATTCTCTCCTACCTGAAAAAGTACGATACAGTGAGCCAACCATCACTGTGAAAGCACAAGCACAAGGGCCAGTACTGTGCTGGCTGGGCAGCAAACAGCTGCTAAGAAAAAAGGATAAATATATCCTTATATAACTACGATCTGTTCACACAAAGCCAGGGTCTTCTGAGATTTCATGATTTTATACATCAAATCTGTTTCTGCAAACATCCTGAGTTTATACTGTCATGACCACAATTTCTTTAAACCTCTGAACTACAGAAAGTGACAGTGATAGCTTTATGCAGAGAAATAAGTACAAAAGCCTTTTTTATGAGGGCAAACCAGTCTTTTTTTTTTTTTGCTCACTTAGAGCAAACACAGGTTACATAACCGTATGACACTCAGAGAAACCGACCCAATGGCTAACATTTTGCTGCTCGTATTCTGAGACACTAAATGTCTGAAGCTGAAAGCCCAGCAAAAAACAATTTTGGGAAGGACGCTATAAGTGAGAATTTAAAAGCAAAAATATTCAGCAAATTACTTGGGAGCTTATATGGAGAAAATACTTTTTGAAGTCCGTGTTTTCCAAAAATGGCACTAGATCCTTGTTCTGCATACACACAAAAATGTGATCCTCCATCCCCAGACCTCTGCTCATCACCTGACAGCCTTTCCCAATAACTATTCATAAATGACCTTCGCTGGTGATGAACTTCCAGCCCCCACAGCACTCATTTGAGTTCCACATTTGGACAGAGCACACCGCTGATCCCCCACGATCAGCACATCCTGTGTCTAATGAACCCTGACACCAGGCACCTTCCTCTAGCCTGCCGCACAGCTGAGTTATCTGACAGAAACTGGCAGGTGGATTCTGTAAGTCCCCAGGAAAGGATGGTTTTCAAGGCATTTGGCAGCAAGTCAGGCTGACATTGCAGGAGTAATTTAAGAAATGTTTAGAACGTGCAAGTGTAGCAAGGGACAACGTGCTTCGTGCTCAAACTGAGCATCACCCTGTAGCCACTGAGCCAGGGGCAGGGGGACCCTTGATTTTTACCTTCCAGTTGGGAACGTCCTTCATGACTTTGGCTTCCTCCTCCAGATTTTCTCGCAGCATCCGCAACGTCCTGGAACACAGAACAGGGGGGCAGGCAGGCAGTCAGCAAAATGGTCGAGACGGCTACCAGATAAACAGGCTTGTCTTAAAGGGGGAAACCGCACAATCAGCAAAAAGAATCAGGGCCATCCACGAGCTGCTCTTCTTGGCTTTTTATATCAAATCACCTTTAGCTATTTTCTCAGAAGCCTCAAGTTGGAGCCCCTGTCATTTGGCTGGGAAGCAGATGCAGACACCTACAACCCTTTGTGTACAGACGTGTTTCCTATTTTCCACCCTAAATGAATTCCCTTTGCATTCCCTCTCCATTTGAAAGCCTGTGTCTTTGTTTTGCTGCTTTCTTAAGCAGAACCCTGGGCTGACCCCATCTGCAAACCTTTTATACACTTTGATCGAGTATCCCCTCAAACTCCCGATTGAAAAAGATTTAGATTATTCGATACGAGACAATCCCAAGACCACAAGTCACACAATTGCTGTATTTATTTGTTCTACATATCCCAGACAGCCAAAGCAAGGACTCTTATCTCAGAGGAATTTGCCACAATTTTCCCCCATCCCCAGTGGAAATACTAAGGACAGCCATCACATCTGTTTAAGATCAAAAGAGAAAGCGGTCAAGTCAAATCACACCAAGTGCTTCTGTTGCTGCTGTTCTGTTCTCTAGAATCATATTTACGGATTAGCATTCCCACACTACTTACAGACATTTCACTCCAAGTGAAGAATTTTGGGGCCCAAGGCGGCTTTAGGACGAGTGATAATTGGCTCCAATTTCCAACTTTTTTCTAGGAGACTTTTGGCTGCTTGGATCAAAAGTGATCAGAAAAAGATTACTGAATCTAATAAATTTGCAAGAGCTTATATCAGTGGTTCTGACTGCTCATCGTTCAAACTTTTTGGGTTGGGGGACATTTCAAAATCCGATGACAGAAACATATTTCCCCGAAGAGTCTCCTCCCTTTTTTCCTCTGCAAACCCCTCCGCCTGCAAGACTCTCCCCAGCCGCCCTGTGCCACCTCGTCTCATCTCACCCACTGGAGCCCTGCGTGCTTTTTGATGGGAGGGGAACACTACACACTCTTGAGCCCACGTTGCAAGTTTCCACTTCCCCCCCGACAGGCGGAACACCAGAACCAGCGCCTCTTCCCCTGTGCGGCGAACCCCGGCTGGCGCCCTCACCTGCGGTCGTGCTCGGCCTGCAGCAGAGGCAGCAGCGCGATCCGAGCCTCCAGCTCCTCGATCAGCAGCCGCCTGGAAGACGCAAACACCACCCATCATGACGCGCAGCCTCGACTCCGCACTCTGGGGAGACTTTTTTTCTCTTTTTATCGAGACCTTTTCACACGGGCGTGTCTTTCACACGGACACATTAACAAACCTGAGCCTCTAAAAAAAACAATCTCAAATAGTCATGGATCCCCGGGCAAATTATACTGGCGCAATGCCGATGGGCATTCGTGTTCTCAGTTTCGTGTGGCCACTGAAGCAGCTCTCTCTGAGGGCGGGCACATCTCCATGACACACCATTGCTAATGGGAAGGTTTAAGCAAATACAACTAGAAATTAGTTGAAAAACTGTATCCACACGGGACAATATTCAGAGATTTCATTTTGCCACAACAGATTTATTGTTCCTGATCTCTACAATGTGCTGCACTGTGTATGTCCCAAGAGATCAGTGAAATTAAACATTCTAATGTACATGTACATATGGCAATAAACTACTCTAGACCAGCGGTTTTCAACCTGTGGGCCAGTGGGCAGTACTGGAGAGGGGCTGTCAAATGATTGTTGTAATTGTGAAAGAATCATAAATATATAACATTATATATATAATATAAATAACAATATAAATAATGTATAGATATTATGGCTTAGCATGCTGCATGACAGCCATTTAGTGCCAGCCAGGTGAGGCTGCACACTGGATGGTGGTGGAGGGGAGTCCCCATTACCTGTAAAGCGCTTTGAGTGGAGTGTCCAGAAAAGCGCTATAGAAGTGTAAGCAATTATTATTATTAATTATTATTATTAGATGTGACATGACGAGAAAGCTAATGCAGAATGTAGTATTAACTGCCTAATCACCCTTCATATCATGGAGAAATGGCTTGCGTTTGGTTCTCTTATGAGACACAGAGGAAGGCCCATCTGCAAGCACAGAAACTGCTTCAGTGTCTCATACCGATAACCCAAAATCCAAACCCAAACTAAAGAAGAGAAAACATAGCAGTGAGTACCTGGCTCTGGGCTTTCCGTGCCTGGGAACTGAGAACGAGCCGCTGCTATTGAGTCACTGTGCATTCACGCGTCCAGTGGAGGGGGAGTTAACATCTACTTCTGTTTTAGAATTGTTCTGATAGTTATCGTACAGATTTTTGCTTCTCAGCGTCTTCATAAGGTCATGGACACAGAAGGCTGCCCCACACTTCTGGAAACACTTTCAGCTCGTTTGATCCCGCCCGTTCAGTTTTGTTTTGGACAAGGCTAGCGTTAAGCGCGTGAGATATCATAATAAAGAAAAGAGCTGTACTGGTGCCTTTTGTGAGGTGCTGACTGGACTCTTTCTGTAATCGATAATCGGTCTTTGTAAAGCCATGCTTGTAGCTCGTATGCACCTATTTTCTCTGATCACCGGTGTCGATGAGGCTACTGCTGAGGTACAGAGCGAGCCCGTTTCGAAACGGTGAGGACGGCCTGGTCTCTGTATGGGACCAGTTTTTATGGTCAGTCATGTGGGCAGCGAGCTGTAATAGGTTGGGAACCTCTGCTCTAGATGGTTTCCTTGTCTCTAAGGGTAAAATAGGAGATTACTAAATAGAGTCTAAAAAGAACAGATTGAAATGTTTTATTTACAAAGCGCATATTGATAGAATGATTGCTCTGAACGTAGTCCAGAATGTTGTTTTTGTACAGTACAATTCTTTCATGACATATACGTAATAAACACAGAGGAAACTTTTCTTTGGGGAAAACCAACAAACAATATGGGAAAAACTGTTTTTTTTTTATTTAGAATAAATATAATCTCCTGAAAAGCAATTCTCTGCAAGACAGTCTGAACCAGAAAGGCCAGCTTACCGTCTCTCCCTGTTCCACTTGAAGAGTCGCCAGTAACCGAAAAGCAGGGCCCCGATACCAATACCAAACATGCTATACCCTGAAAGTGACAATAAAGAAAAGATCAACGGACAACTCCACTGTCAGAGAGCAACTACTCCACAAGCTCGGGGAACAAGAGGGACGGCAGGGAGAAGAGGAGAAACTGCAATAGCCAATCCAAAAGAGCACCTGGTGCAAAAACCAGATGATTAACTTCATTCCAGGATGTTTATTTTTATTTTCTTAGTTGTTAAAAGGGTTGACTGTCTGTGAAATGTATTATACATTGCGTTACGACTTTAACTGCGTGCAAATCAAACAACCCAACTGGGCCAATATAGAAAGTAAGGACTGTAATTACTGTAACCAGAGTTTTAGGGTGAGATGTGACTGAACACGTAAGCTTTTTGTGCATCACTGACGTGTTCCACCTGAAATTCTCACGCTTCAGGACGGTGGTGTTATTTAATAGAAACCTAAATACAAATAAACCAAACTTTCTCGAAGGAGAAATAAAAAACAGGAAAACGAAAAGCGAGTTTTCAGAACTCATTCATTCCTCCCTGGTGAATGTCATTACCTTACTCACAGGTAAGCTACAACGGATAAACCTATACTACAAAACCGGAGCATGCAAACTGTCCTAAGTAAGAATTGATCGTTTCCATTACATATATAGCGATGCAAAAACCGCTTTATATTAAGATCTGTGTAGATTAAAAATGAACGTTTATGAGACCTATGTCTGCATGTAAACACTACATCAAAGACAAAGGAAATGAGTCCAATACATCTTAGAAAACAGGATACATTTATGGCTTTAATAGACGTGGAAGTGTTTGTTTTGTTTTTACAATTACAACATTACATTTTTCTATAAATTCGTGACTGAGCTCAAACAGAGGTGTCAAAACTATCGAAAAGACAAGCGGAGCCCAGGACTACGTCTGCCGTCCAAACAGACCTCCAGGTTAAAGAGGGGAAACACAAGCCTCCGCGCTTTTTTCCCTCATCGATTGAGCGGCATCAGTACTGACCGGAAAGCCCTCTCTTCGGGAGATTCCTCTTGTAGTCAAAGGAACCGTAGCCCCCCGGAGGAGGCATGTCCTGCTTCACCTTGGACGTCGCCATTTCGGTTCCTCACCGCAGCTGCAAACCGCGCAGAACTGTGACGTTGACACGCTGGCCACGCTTCTTGATGACGTCTTCACGTCCTCCGTTCCGACAGCACGCTTCCGCCATGCTGGATTTGGCAGAGTACTGCAGGTGGAGTATAAACTACCACTGACTTGGTGGGAACGCAGCAGTGCGTATGGAAATTGGAAGGACTACTTTGAATTCTCCTTATTACACGCAATAGTTTTCCCTACCCCAGAAGATCAACGGGAGTCCAAAATCAAGATGTAAATGCCATCGTCCCCTAAAGATATGCGATATGATAACTCTAACCGATAACCGTTTACTCCTATACTGGAGTCCTTGCACTGGTTCCTCTACGGTTTTGTCAATTTTGAAATCCTGATGTTCATCTATAAAGCTCTGCATGGCTTGGCACCTCAGTGCCTGTTTTGAGTTACTATCGTCCTACTCCCCACTGATTTCTCATGCCATATATTAATATTTTTATCCAGGCGTGTTTTAACGTATAACCCCTACGATACATAAAAGTGCGTTAAATATTAGTCTATTCTGCGTATTAAAAAAATAAAAGTTATCCCATTAAATATTTTTAAATACTTTTAAATATATATCAATTTATTATAGAAGCATTAAATGCCTTTGCATTTCGCAACACTATAACACCCACAAAAATGATTATGGAATAATTATTCATTGATAATTCAAAAGATTATTCATTGTGGAGTCGTAGTTGAATTTCTCGCAGACTAAAATAAAGGCATTTCACTTTACTTGGAAAGTAAAGCGTCGCATATATATTACGTCCGTGTATTATTTACATATTGTGATATTCTGCCCAAAATATTTTTTTTTATGAGGGGAGTTTTAGTGCATAACGTAAATAGTGTGAAAGAATCTATCATTTACGGTGCTTTCCCAAACAAAAACCATACAGTAACATGATATTAACTTTAACCGTGTAATATGAACATAAAGAAAATGCGAATCTTGACGCGTATCTTTAAATCAACCCGTAACTAAACAGAAAACATTGTAAAGTAGCTTTGAAGGGGCTCTAGGCTTGATGGTTAAAAAATCATCAAACCTCGATTGAAAGCTGATGTTCAGTTGTGCAATATGCTTCACTCAGATCACTCCGTGTACATGCACAACTGACAGATCCAAATAAATGTAAGTAGCTTCTGAAAAGACGTCTCCGAAATGTAAGAAAATCTACCTGATAGGGGCGTTTCTCTAACTGTTGTATCAACTACCGGACGACCGAAGCGCAGCCCAGCCCTCCTCTGTCCAGCAATAGCGGAAAATACGTCACACATCACCTAAAACACACACACGAGGTCCAGCTACCGAAAACGTCATAATACATTCACAATAACGACTGGCCGAAGCCCTGCCCCTTAAATACTGGATCAAATGAATTTTTCGAAAGCCTGTGTTTATTTACGTATTGAGAAATCCAGGGCAGTTTGTCATTCTAAAGAGCGGAAGGGTCATCTGAAATCATTTTCAATGGCTTGCTGGGGGACGTGTGGCCTTTCATACGCGACAGAGGTCACCGGGTGACGTGTGTCTAAACTTCATAAGGACGACTGGATCACAGACCGGTACCGGCACAAACCACACAGGCCTGGACAGGAGGAAGAGACCAGGGGCAGCGGCTCTCTGATGGCGTGATGGCTCTTGCACATAAACTTTAAAGGAGGAGAGCCAGAGATGTCCCGGGACAAGGTTCTGACGCTAATGGGATACACACTGGGCTTGACCATAGGCGAGGGCAGCTATTCCAAGGTCAAGCTGGCCACCACCAAGAAATACCCCGAGCAGGTGGCCATCAAAATCGTGGACCGGAGGAGAGCCCCCCACGACTTCGTCTGCAAATTCCTCCCGCGGGAGCTGGCCATCCTGAGAGGCGTGCGCCACCCCCACATCGTCCACGTCCACGAGTTCATCGAGGTGTGCAGCGGCAAGCTGTACATCGTCATGGAGGCGGCGACCACCGACCTCCTGCAGCGCGTCCAGGAGCTCAGCTCCATCCCCGGCCCGCTGGCCAAGGTGCTCTTCTCGCAGATCGTCAGCGCCGTGGGCTACCTGCACGCCAACGACATCGTGCACCGCGACCTGAAGTGCGAGAACGTGCTCCTGACCGCGGACAACCAGGTGAAGCTCACCGACTTCGGCTTCGGCCGGAAGGCGCTGGGTTACCCGGAGGTCAGCAGCACCTACTGCGGCTCGGCGGCCTACGCCCCGCCCGAGGTCCTCCTGGGCGTGCCCTACGACCCCAAGAAGTACGACGTGTGGAGCCTGGGGGTCATCCTCTACGTCATGGCGACCGGGTGCATGCCCTTCGACGACTCCAACGTGAGCAAGCTGCCGCGCATCCAGCGGAAGGCGCTCGTGTACCCGCAGGAGGTGCCCGTGGAGGCGCCCTGCCGCGCGGTCATCGGCTCGCTGCTGCAGTTCAGCCCCTCCACGCGCCCCTCCGTGCAGCAGGTGTCGGAGGACCCCTGGCTGGGACAGCAGGGTGACCAGTAAACATGCCGGGTGGCTGGGAGAGAGAGCCGTGTGCTGTCAGTGTTTTGAGTCCACCCAGTTCTCGGTGTTGGTACATTTGTAGTGATGGTTATGGATGCAAATGATCCTGTATCCCGGAAAGCAAATGTGTTTAATGGCCTCGGCTCTTTTGTCCTCATAATCTTTGTTTTTATTCTTATTTTTTTTAACCCTAAAGAGAAGCAAAGCCGCGTTATTCGAGTTAGCGGCTCTTCCGCGGTTTGTCAGCGCGGGGGGTGGGACTCGTGCACCACAGTCGGTCAATCACACAGTTGCGGTTAGGGGAAAAAAATACTGTTTAACCTCAGATATGAAACCCCTTGAGGTCTGGCACTGAAGAGTCCTATCCCAAATCGACGATTTAATTATTTCAAAATCCGAAACACTGCTGATAATGTTTTTGATACAGAAGGTCTAAACATGGTCAAGAAAAATCACAGTCCAGCACGTCTTAGGGGACAAACCTCCGTTAATCGTACATTCGTAAAAATATGGAATACAAACGCCTACTTGCTCAATTTAGTTAAAGCGGTATTGTTCAGTTAAATCAGTGTCACCTGTAATGTAGCCATCAAGAGCTACAGCAGGGATCTCCAGTCTTGCTCCTGGAGAACCCCAATCTACTCATTCCTAAATCACCCACGCTTCAATGTTAGGAACATGTTTTAAATGCAATTGATCAGTTAAGCAAATAATATTTTAATGGAGGAAACCGTGGTCCCCGAAAAATATTATTGAAATATATTCTGGTTTTTGTACCAAAATGGTCTTTAAATGACATAACTGAACATGCCTTTAATTAACCTGTCCGGAGCTCTCCATGATCAGGGCTGCAGATGTCTGGACCTACAGTGTGTTGGTATTATGAGCTACTTGCCCGAACACATCACCTGCCTCAGTGGTCAAAGCTGCAAATTTGTTTCAGGTGCTCAGAAACCGAGGCATTGTTGCCTTGCAGTGCTGGGGTCCTGGGTTCAATTCCTGGGGTGCTATCTGTGTGGAGTTTGTATGTTCTCCCCATGTTTGTGTGGGTTTCCCCCGGTGGGAAAGGGGCTCTGGGTGCTGTGTGTGTGTGTGTGTGTGTGTTCTGTGATGGACTGGCGTCTTGTCCAGGGTCCCTGTCCAGGAGGCTCATGGGCTCTGATAGATCTTTCTTTTTCATTGGTGGTGTTTCTTGGAGAAAGGATGCACAAGATGTCTCTGCTCATCGACAGGAGGGCCTTGCTTTCACTCCTACACTTCTTCCCAGAAAGAAAAGCGTGTTGATATTCACTTGCCGACCTGGAGGGGGCGCTGTGACTCCTGGTTTCCTTTCTACCCCATGAGTCCTAACTGGATTTGAATCAACTTTTCACTTAATTGGTCCTAATTATTCCAGGTCCTCCCTCAGGATGATAAATTACCTATAAACTGGGGCCCCGTAGAATCTGGAGTGAATATCACTCCAAATCAACAGGTTGTCTTCAACTGTAGGTGGATTATTAGCGATGCTGGATCGCAGTGTAATAAACAGACACCGAAGGTGAATTCACAGCACTGTTTATAAAACATCACTGGTGGAGAGGAGAAGTGAAATCACGCAAAGCATTTTCCTTGCAAATGTTTTGAAGTCCTTTATGCTTCCTTTCCAGCTCCACTGTTTTGCCAGTCTGGGTCTTGTGGAAATAACTGCAGAATTTCAAGTGTGCAGTAGTTCAGGTGGGCAGCTGTGTCAGCATGCGTAGGCTGCAAAGGAACAAGTAAAGGTTTCTTCCAGGCTGGAAAGAGAAGAAAAGAAAAAATGTTTCTGCTGAGGAGCCATCTTTGGGTGTGACGGAAGGCTGTAAAGAAGGCTCCACAGCCAAAACGTTCTTCCTTTTCAGCGTGGAATAAACCTTTACTTGTTCCTTACGTTGGCAGTTACAGTCTATATATCTAAAATGTTTACTGCAGCCAACAAGCCTTACATGAGGGATTCCTTACTGAAATGAAAATGTGCAGACACGTAGTTTCAGGAAATGCATTAATAAAAAAATGGTTCCATCATTAACGGGTTCAGCTCAGTTCAAAAGGAGAGGGTGATATTTCGCCACAATTACAAAGCACAAAGCAGAGAAACAGTCCCACACGCATTCAAAAGCAATTCATAAGCAACTATATCTCTATCGGACGTATCCACGCAACAATCTCTGGAATTAATCGCTAACAAACAACATGGGGATAAAAGGCGCCCAAGCCCATACCTGTTAACCAGGAGAGCCCGAGTCGACGTGATAATACCTCCGCACTCACACGCGAGCAGTGTAACCGATAATCCTAATCGCTTATATGGTAACAAAGACAGTGCGTTCGCTGGCAGCAGGGTGCACAACTTGTCTGCTCTACTTGGAAGACAGAGGACTGCACAGGAGCGAAATGATAACCCCATTAATAAAGGTAGACCTTTAATGCTACAGTGACGAAGGGAGGGAGATAGATTTCCACTTCTAATTGGGAGCTCAATTTCCTCGTCGGTGCCCGTCTGAGATTTTCCCGTGGCACGAAAAGGGCCAGCCCTGCAGGAATGGCTCACAGCGAGAGACGGGCGAGCCTCAGCCTGAGTCAAAAACACGCTCACCACGCCAACAGGCGGGAGAGGGCGGACTGCGAGCTGCGGGTCCAGACCATCGAGTCGGCCAGAGACTCCGCGCTGAAGAGCCACGAACAGCAGTCCTGCGCTTACCTCTCCAAGCTGGCGCGCTACACCGGGGCGCTACTCAACCCCAAGACACGGGACGCGCCGGCCAGGGAAGGGCCCGCAGCGCCCTCTGCCGGGCAAGGAGAGGAGGAGGTCCCGCACGCAAAGGAAAGTCGCCAACAACTTTCCCCGAACCGACCCCCCGCCGTTTCTGACCCAGTTCTGTCCAGGAGAAGGAGATCGACACAACCTTTCCCGAACCAACCCCCCGCCGTTTCTGACCCAGTTCTGTCCAGGAGAAGGAGATCGACAGCGTTTTGACCATCTTGTTGGCACCGCGCAGAAAAGATTGAGCAATTTTCTAAACCCTACAACCGATACCGGACGAGAGCACGAAGCATAGGTCTGCTGTTTACTTTTTAATTACCCAGCTGCGTTATCTGCGTTGGTTGAATGAATAATGTATACTGTGCGTTTTTTACCTCTAACAAAACCAGTCATACATTTGCAGTCTGCAGGGTGTCCAGTCCTGATCCTGGGGGGTCAGTGTGTCTGCAGGGTGTCCAGTCCTGGTCCTGGAGGGGTCAGTGTGTCTGCAGGGTGTCCAGTCCTGATCCTGGGGGGTCAGTGTGTCTGCAGGGTGTCCAGGTCTTATTAAAGAAGCAGCTCCTTGTGATCTGGGAGAAGTTGGTAATTTGGTCCCATTAAGGCAATAAAAAGCCAATTCAGGTCCTTCAGAGCCCCACCGGACTGAAAACCTGGAGACACAGCAACACAGCTGGACTGGGAACTTCCGTCTAAGCAATAACATGATGAAAATAAACCTGAATCTTACTGCAACTCCCACGTCTCTCAAGTGGCATCTCAGGGAATCCAGGGCCCTGATCCTAGAGGTCCACACCCCCCACTGGTTTTCATTCCAGCTGAGCCTAATTACCTAATTGAACTAATTAAGTTCAATTAGCACCAGCTCAAATTAGCACCTGCACATATTCACACCTGCACCTTAAGGTACTGCACTGTTTGCTCTCTGTCCTGTCTTGGCTGTATTATAGTGTCTATTCTCTAAATTTATTGTCCATGTCTGTTTGTCATTTGTGCATTTTATTTCTCTAAGGTTACTGGGTACAGCTGAACGAGTAAGCATTCCAGTGCACTTGTATTTGGCAAATAAAGAAATCTTGAATCTAATGAGGCACTTCATGAGAACGTTTGCAAGTTTATTTCTACTCAAACTCTAGGAATGTTCTGTTACATATGAAATGGTTAAAAGGCAACATCTAATGTGCTTCTAACAACTGAAACAATCAAGAGCAGCAGGTGTGTGGTGGGCCTGTTGACCCCTGACATCACTCACAAACTTAAAAGCTGCAACTCTGTTTACTCTTGATGGAAATCTAAATAACAAAAGCACAAGCAAGGTTTGATGTCAGCTTTTCTGTCTTAGTAGTTAATGGCAAAACCATTTTGTTAATGCATTTCCCGAAACTAAGTTTCCTGCAGATTTTCATTATAATATAATCCCCCATGTTAGGCTTGTTAGCTGCCTTTATGCATTTTGGATACATAGACCGTAACGGCACAACTTAATTTTCTGCCTTTATTCCTCAAGACCCAGATATCAGGAATAAAAGCATAAGTGACTTGGAGAGCTTTAATCCAAGGGCTGGGGTTCAAACTGCTCACTCTGTTAAATGGCCTACCATTCCCAGAGTTTTCAGTCTTCTCTATATTATTCCTCCATGATCCCTTGATTAAAAAAAAACTCAGTTCCCTGATAAATAACTGAACCTCTCAAAGTCACAGTGCAGTGAAAAAAGCGGTTACCCGAGAGCTAGACTCAGCAGGCCTGCTTGTCCTCGACACAGAGCTGATCTAAGGAGTACAACAGGATTTCTAGATCTTTAGGGGGCGGTGTACTGTTTAGTGGGTAAGGTTATGGACTCGTGACCGACAGGTTATGGGTTTGAGCGCCCACTGCAGACACTCCTGATGTACCTTTGAGGGAGATACCCCAGTTGTATAAGTGGGGACCAGCATTTCTGGGTGGGGTCATCTGGTCCATGGAAGGGTGAAGGGTGTCCCTTCCAGTGGACGGGGGGGGGTGTTGTCTCTCACTCACCGGCTCTGGGCCCTTGAACTGCTGTGGTGCTGGTCCAGACTCTACCCTCCCCTCCTCCCTCTAACATGAAACAGTGTGTGTGTGTGTTGTGTGTGAGGATGCAGACCAGAACCTCAAAAACCAGGCATTAAAATCCATAACGCAAACCAACCTCAAATGGATGAAAAAAGTAAGAAGAGACTAGGATGTTCTCGTTTGTTCTCTTCCTTTATTTTCATATCCTAACCCCTCCCCTCCCCTACCTCACAGTACAATACAGGTATCGATTACAGCTTGGCCTTCCATTAGTTTTCTATTCACGGTTTTAAGTGGGAATGCTTTTTTATCAAAAAT